CATGCAAGAAACTTCGTACATGTAATTAGAGATGTGCAGGGTTACCCTGACCTATCCTTCAAGGTAGAGTGAAGGTTAGAAAGTTTTTCTCAGTCAGAATATAGGATACGAAAAAATACTTACTCTGGTGGAATCATCTGTTTCGCCCTAACATTGTGAAAAAACAAAGTATTTTTGCTTTTTTTTACTCGCCTTCGACATATTTAGTTTCTTCTCTACGTGCAAATATTTGTCTACCTGAATCTTATTCGGAATCAAATAGGGGACGGCATGCACACACTATCGCACTCAAACTGCATATAACAGTACAGTAATGCTTATTTAGTCTTTGTTTTTATCCCATCTATCTTTTTGTGTACACGAAGACACTTATTATATTGTCCAACAGTACTCATCAAAGCTTCGTTTCTTATTTTGCTCATTTCAATGTTATTCAATACATGCAGATTCTCACCAGATCGGACATCCTCAGAAATAAAATCGAAAATAATGGAAGATAGTATCTGGTATGCACTCTGAGTAAAAAAAACACGGTTGCTTTTCATTCTTTATACGTTAATGTCGTTTTCATTTCTGCTTCTTATTATACAATCTAAGAAGAATGTACCTTCAAAGCAATCAAATAGAATACATGATTCTTCTTCATATCAAGACACTCATCGATTTTTATAGTGAATTGAGTCGATTCGATGGAGATTTGTTGTATTATCTTGTTGACAAATTGAAGAATAGCATGGTAATTTGGTCCTTCTCTTCTGATTCGATTCGCAGCCATCTTCTCTTTTTATGCGTAGACAGCATGAGTGCTGGTGCCTGGATGTGTGCGTGGAATCATTCTCGTCATCTATTCAAGCAACTACATGCATACCCTCTTCGCCGATCGTAAGTGCTCGAGGCATGCTATTGAATACCCCCGATAACACTATCTATTGAATGGTTTGTTTATCGAAAAGATACAATAGATATCTAAAAGATTTTCAGCAAGGAACAGTATACATTCACAATAGATTCTATTCATGTCCACTAAATGGTTCATCTGCCGCTCAAGTAGAGTATTCGACTGATTGTTACTGCTGAATCAAAAGCAAATGATCATAATCTGTTCACAATGGTGTGTGATTATCTTCCGAAAGAACCAAAAAGTTATATAATCAAGCCGTGGGTATGCCCATTGTGTTCGTAGAATGTTAGGACTGTTTGTCCATTTCTTGTTATTTTCAACTAATCTTACTACAAAGAGCATATTAGATTTTTCAAAAAAAGCATCCCAAGTTATAGCATAATCTTTTTGGCTTATATGTCTATTCAAATGAATGATTAAATGTAATCAATGATAGTGATATACAAAAACGTGATCACTAAGTTAAATCCAATATTGTTCAGCTGCGGTGCTGAGGAAGTATGTGATACACTGAGATGCGGATCGCTAATCATTCGACCAGAGATCGTATCGTTTGTTGTTGTTTCATTGGTGTCAACTGGAAGATAGATGGTATCAATTGAAAAGAATGGTGGTAAAGCAACGACTGGTAATCCGCGTAGATCATCAAGTTTTTCGAATTTCAAACAAACTTCCAGCAAACAATTTCCACTAATGGTTCCCATCGCATAGGCACTATAACCGTTTGGACACGCTTGAATGCGCGATCTGGTAGCTATATTTCCGAATTGACATGAATAGATCCCGCCATAGTGAGGCAATGTATTTGTACTTGATGTGAATCTTTCACCCAAACATACTTTGATACCATCGATGTCGTACGCTTCTACCAAACCTTGTGGACATGTGTAATCATTGGTGACTGGATTGACTTTTTTCGTTGTGAATGAGCCACCAAATACATAGGTCGATCGAATGTCGCCAGTGCCATACAACCCTAACTGTTGACTGACATTCCGATTGCATCCATAAAGATTGAGTTCGCGCCGCCCCTGTCCTGTATAAATATTCTTGCAACACTTTTTCAACCAAAGAAAACCACATGCTCGACAACTTTGTCTATATAATGATGTATTTAGGATTTGAGTATGTAAGAGATACTTATTGAACCCGTATTTGCATTGATCGTTACCTGTATAGTAGTTTTTCATTTGCAGGCTTGAACATTTTCTAAATAGAGCGTTTTTTCTATCATCGAAATATAAACATTTCTAGAAACTGGGTAGTCAATTGACAAAGTATTGACATCAAATGAACGATTTTCCAATGAATATCAAGTGTTGACTTACTGTGGCATATGAGAATCTTCTGTGCAAGTGCGAATAAAGCCTCCGAACTGTGTCGTCTGTTGAACTGAAGCACAGGAACCATCATCGAGATTGGTAATCCAGTTGAACGATGGTGAATTTCGATTCATACATCCTCGAATTGTATTCATTTCCATATAGGTATTGACCGCTTCATTAATTTCTTTTCGAACTTTGCTCAATGCCATGTCAGTCAATTCAGGAATTTTATCCGCTTGAATAAAGTATGTGAGATTTTCAACAGCTCGTCGAATGATAGCTGGACTTTTCTTCACTGATGCTTGCCATGCTTCCATATGACCACCTAAGATAAAGATTTCACCACCTTTAGAACTTACTACTTTTCGATTGATTTTTCTTTTGTATTCATTAATCGAGGTTTGATTATATTTGGAATCCGATTCGTAATTTGCCGAAAGACCAAATGAGCTCAAAAATGATGCTTCCGCTGCTGCTTTGTACATTCTTTTTTCTGATGTGCTGGAAGAGTAATTGGAATGGGATATGAAATCTTCTTCAGTGATCGATCCACCCAAATATAAACGGCTTGTATAGTGTGTTCCATATTTTTTGACAAAAAGCTGAGCAAGATAAGTCGCCAGAAGACTTTCCTGATTCGCTTGATATTCGGCAATTTCAATCAGATCTTTTTTAACTTGTGGATGTAGAGGACATGTAGATAGAAGAAAGACGTCGACCATGAGATAGTCGATTTGGTTTCGCAGTGTGATCGACTTCTCTTGTCCCTGTTCCTTTTTTGTTGTTTGATACTCTTTCGAATAGGAGCCACCGATTTTGAAGCCTCCGAATCCTGCGTTACCTGCTATCATTAAATTCGATGAGTAGTCACTAGTACGTGAATCGAATGTGTCGATTTCTATTGATCCCATCTCAATTTTATTCTCGTGTAGAGGAATCATTTCAATACAGGATTGAAACACATCGGAATCATTTAAATTCGACACTTCATAGATAGGTGCCAAATCAATGAAACGTAAATGATCCCAACCGAATCCAGGATAAATATCGACGTTCAATAGTTTCTCACCATCGCATCTGAACCATAGTAACAACAAGGCCATGTAAGACACCTTCATTTTCCTCGAGATAAATTTTTTAATCTGAAAATGAAATTCATGAACATCGATTACACTTCATGAGCTACTTGACAGAAAATTGATCGAACCGAGTTTGTTTTCAATAAACACTATAGACCGAAAACAGTCTTTAATAGCTTCGATAGACATTGCTTACGCTGCGTCTCTTTTTTTTTTTTGAATTACAAAACGCCACGTATGAAATCAACACAACTTAAATACTGTCAATCGACACCAATTTCTTAAGCAAATACATATATATCTAAGCCAATAACTCGAAATAACATCTCATGTTTCTACATGTATATCTAAAGTGATTATTGCAATCTCATAACACCAGTCAGCGACTTAATCGATCAGTATCGAATTTCGAGATATACGCTGGAGAAGTAATGAAGACAACACAGAGAGAGAGAGAGAGAGACCAGCGGCATGTGTTTCTTCTAGAAACTATTGATCTGTTGATGTTGGTGAGTGGTTAGGTGCGGGTATAGGTGTGTATTAATCAATCATGACTAACATTTTATGCACACTAAAAAAAACCTAATTTAACAAGAGAACGTATAACTCTCTCTCTGTAATGACACACCAAATAAAACATGGAGGAGATTAGAAAACCAACCAAGGGAAATAAAAGAAAAGAGAGGTAGTGACTCGCAGGCAGCAGCTACTGGGACTTATTTTTTCGGGATTTATTGGGATTTTTCAATAAGTCCGTAAGCACTTTGAGATAAATCCCATACAGTTCCTCGCTACATACAGAATGTGGATGAGGGTGTGGGTGTGAGTATGGGTGTGGATGTGGGTGTGGATGTGGGTGTGGATGTGAGTATGGGTGTGGGTGTGGGTGTTGATGTGAGTATACTGGGATAGCATCAATATTAATATATCCGAATAAATCCTCAATAAAGAAATAAGTCCGCTAGAAAGAATAAATCCCGAAAAAATAAGTCCCGGTAGTCCCTCAGAAATGGAACACTTCAGTTCCGAAAATGGGAATTCCTGCGAATCTGAATAGGGAAATCAAAAACGAAAACGATTAATTATTACCTCTGAAGAATACTTCCAAGTATCTGTGAACAAAGTTAGAAAGAAGTCGTAAATAGTCAGGATTGAGAAAACTGGTGTTTTTCCATTACGAGAAATAAAAGAAAAGAATTTCAATACGATTACTACGAAAACAAACAGCTTCTTAAATTCAGTAATTCGGTAACACTAAGCTTTTTAGAGTCAAATGACGTTTCTAATTGCACAAGCTATACGAGCCGTATATAATCTTCCCGAAGTTCCATTAGTTTAACATTGTAAGTTGAATGATTTTCTGAATTGATTTATTACTTATACAAATGTTTTAAAGTGAAATAAAATCAACGTGTCAATGTATTTTATTGAATATCATCATCAAGAACATATTGCTGTACATTAACAGGTTTTGTTTTCTCTTTTGATGAAAGAGAATTTTCTGATGTTTCATCATTAGTTGTTGATATAATACTATCGATACTTGATTTTTTAAGCTCTTTTACTAGATCGTTTTCTTCGTCTTGTTTTTTTCGTTTGATAAAATAAAAAATTATTAATGAAAGACCAGACAAAATTAATACACATATAATAATAATGATTATTATTGTTTTCAGATTTGTTTGAATATTAGAATTATTGTTTTGTTTTTTTAACTTTTTTTTTTTTAATTGATGCTTTCGATTTATTCTTATTCATTGTTAAATTTTTATTAGTTGATTGTAGTAAACTAGTAAATTCCATAGTTTTGTTTTTATTCATATGTCGATTATATTCTTCATTTAATTCTTCTATACTCATTGGCGTATTTGCATTAACCTTTCAATATAAAACATATGAACTTTAAAAAAACAAAAGCTTATTCATACATTATAATAGCAAAAAGGAATAAATGCAGCATTAGGAAAATCATATTTATGCTGACATGGATGAGAATCAAAGACTATATCTAATCGACAAATAATCCAATCTCGTTTAACAAACCATATATAGAATGTATAACGAAATTTCCCTTCATCTAAATTAATTAACTTAATATTATCCGCGATTGTTACTGTATAGTTTTTATTAAAAAATGAATCGTGTTCTAATGTTTTAATCGAATCTGATTTTTCATTATGAATTGATATGGAAGTTGGTGAAATACTTCCACTTTGATGTATTAATGTTAAATGAAGTTTAAATTTAGTATTGAGAGTTTTTTCATTGATACATTTATGAAGTAATGCATTTATAGTAAATATATTAATTAAATCATCAGATGAAACAAGATATGGATGAGAACAATATGAACGAAGATTATCTATTTTGTTTATTGTATGAAGAAAACCAATAAAAGAAATTTTATCATCAGGACAACGAATAGATATGATTGTCTTTATTAAAATTAAATCAACTTTATTTAAAATAACTAAATGAACATAGAATAAAAGTAATGATAATAATAATAAAAGCATATTCCATTAAAATGAAAAAGATTACTATAAGCGCTATTTTATTTTTATTCTAAAAAAGCGATTCATTAACAATTTCAGCTTGCAAAGAAAACAAATAAGGCTGAATTCATTGAATCCAGTTATATTATATTCATGACTTGTTTTTTCTTTATAATAAACGCCAATCGACTGAAACATTTATGTAGAACAATCATAGTATTTTTTCTAAAATATCGCCTATATCTGTCCATATCTTACTGTACACATATAAGTTTACTATTTGAATTGGATGTGTTCAATGAGGATAGTAGATGCCGTCACTATTAGTTTAGTTATAGTAGTTCAAATCATCAATGTTCTGAATTTTGTTCATGGTGTTTTTCAGTTCTATTTGATTATTATATTTTCGATATTGCTTATCAAATATAAAATTTCAGAAAATGTTTACAATTAATCGTTTTTAGTTTGTCAAATTTTTCTAGATATATAGACTGAAAAAGAAAACACTATGTCACACGATAGGTCATGAGTAATTTCTACAATTAAATTTTGAATATTTCATAAGATTTCTATTAGATGTACTAATTTCTTTTTCGCTGATTTAAGAAGAAATAAACATTATTATGTGCAAATAATCTTATTAAAAACTACATTCATTTGTTACTTATTAATTGCAGTAAACAATGAAATACAATTCTTGATTGTGATAAAACATTTTCTTTTTTTTAATGTACATGCAAACTTTCTTGTACTGGTCAGTCTATAGCATGCACAAGCGAATTGCGCTAGGGATGAGCATTTCAAATATGAGCATCTCTTTATTCTGAGCAGTGGGCGCTTATTTCTAATCTCATAAGCAATAATAAGTTCTCTATTGTGAGTAATATATGTTTTTTAACTCAGGCGCAGGATGAAAATAAATTGTTGGAAGAAAGAAAAAAAATCACCTTCTGCAGTCGAAATGCAATTTCAACTAAATACTTATTGGTTGAAAAAAAAGAAACTGAAAAATTTCCAATAATGAGCCACTCCATAAAGTGAGTGGGTTTAGACGATCTTCATGGTGCTCACATTATAGAACTTTCAGTATGGTTTTTTATTATCAAAAGAAATATTATTATGGGAAAAATGAAAAAATCTGATTTGCTTTTCATTTCGGTTGAAATGATCTTTTCATCAGTGAGTAGTAATAAAAATGTTTCTGTTTGCTCAGTGATAAAGAACGGACGAAACAGTATAAAAACGAAACAAAATAAAACGCATCGAAACTGACATTAAAACGTATATAATATTTAAGAAATATGCGTTGTGTTACATGTTCAATTCATTTGCCATCAAATAATTATGCATTAATTGAAGGTGATTATTTTTGTTGGACATGTTTCTTTGAACAATATGCTAATCTTTCAACAACACAAACAATATGTCAGAATTGTGGAAGTATACCTTTATCGTCTAGTAGAACAACATTGTAAGTCAAGAAAATTTATTATTCTATCGTCTTGATTAATGTTTATTTTTATTAGAAATCAAAAACAAGAACAATATGGCTCGGCAACCTCATTGATTAGTACACAATCGACCAAAATATCCGAAGCTGGTAAATTCTTTTTAATGAAATAATTTTTCTAATATATTTTATAGCTAGACATATTGGTACAACCATCGCTAAAACTTTTCGTCGATTTCGTTCGCCTTCTGCATCACGAACTGCAGATGATCCTAGTCATCAAAAGTAAGATGAAATAAACTAGAAAAATCATATATGATATTTAAATTGAATTCAATCATGAATTTAATCTCGTGATATTGTTCATGTAAACTTTACCACAAACGAAGAGCCTATTCACATACTTAAATAGATATCTAATGCAAATATGTACACTGTTTGTGCTCTAACAATAAGTATAACTCACTTTTTGGGTGACCGTAATTTTAACATATTGTTTGGATTTTTCTCAAAAAGAATGTATATCAAACACAGAAAGTTAAAAGAAGGAACTTAATCATTGACGAAATCGTCCTTCATAAGATATACCGTCTGTTTTATTACTTTATTTTAATACTCATTTGCTAAATTTAAAAAATATTCTAAGAGAAAATCGTCTTAATTCAAAAATTAGTAAACTTTATTGTAATAAGCATTATATTTAAAATTGCCTTAAGTCTAAATTTGTATGTACAAATTTAATTACAAAACAAGTTAAGATTGACACGAGAAACCTATAAGCATATATATATATGTCAGATTATATTTTGCCTAGGTCAATATTCTTTCGTCGTTTTTTGTTTTTCAATTTTATAGTCTTGTTCAAACGCAAATGAAAAGCTATTTTTTAAATATTATAGCGCCATAAATATGAGAAAAAAATGTCTTCAATTACCGTTAGACCCTAGTGTCTGGCGACCACGACTTTCATCAAAAAAGTTTTCTGATACTGACCACTCCAACCTTGTTTCATAGGCGCATAGTACATGTCTCTGATCCTAGGATCTATTCAAAGTAGTTATGAATAAATTCTAATCTACTCTATAACATATTTCTACTGTTTTCTTTGTGGATCTATTTGAGTTTGTTACTTAGACAAAAATAGATATGTCAAGTAGTCTAAAATATATGATAACACGACTTATTCGAAATCAACTGAAATAATGAAATGATTCGATTTTAGACCACCACATCCATCTAAAACGCATAATACAACATGTCAAGTATGCTTTGATGAAAAATCATCTAAATATTTTCATGCAATATTCAATCATAATTGTCTACAAGTTCAACGAACTATTTGTGATACATGTATCTATCGTCATATTCAACAATCTTTTCAAGAAATGTGTACAGATGATGTTCGATGTCCAGAACTTGAATGTAATAGTAAATATACTTATGATACAATTCAACATATTCTTATTTCAAATAAAGATAAAAATCTTTTTGAAAGATATGATCGATTTATAAATCTTCATCTATTAGAACAAATGGATGAATTTATTTGGTGTTCAAATTCTAAATGTCAAATGGGACAATTAAACGATGGTGGAGAATTTAATAATATTGTTACTTGTATTCGTTGTTATAAAAAAACATGTTTTAAACATAAAACAAAATGGCATACAGGATTGACATGTGAAGAATATGATTTACAAATAAATGATGATCTTAGAGCAAGTTTAAAATGGTTAAATCAAAATACAAAAACATGTCCAAATTGTCCTTATCAAATTGAAAAAAATGATGGATGTGATCATATCACTTGTATTAAATGTCAATATGAATTCTGTTGGTCATGTTTAGCTGATTATAATCAAATACGACGTGAAGGAAATCATCGACATCATCCTAATTGTAAACATTATGCAGCTCATAATGGACACTAAAATTTTGTATTTTCTATACATATTATTTCTGTGTATTTTGGATTCCGAAAATGATTCAAATTTAACATGTCATTCATATCTATAAATATGAATTTGATAGTTTTGTTCTTATGCTTAAAGAATGTTGGTGTTGTAGTCTTCTCTTTACCCATACACTCACATCCCTCAGACACTACAATATTAATCCGAACTATATATATCTTTGATTTTTCTGTTCAGATCTTTTATGTTTTTATTGTTTTGAAGACTAAACTCTCACGCGTAAAAGCATTGTTAATTCAATTGCTTCTACTTTACTTTTATAAGAGATAGTTGTCAATTAAAAAGAAACAATCAAATCTATTTTTAAGCTCGATAGACCAAGTAACAATGTTTAAAACTTTCCCAGTACTCTTTATGTCTGTTTTGTCAACATGTTTTTGATAATCTAAGAGCCATTGTACGAAAGAGACGATCGAAATACAGACCATGAGCTGAATCGATGTTACCGATCTTAATGAAACTTTGCTTCTAAAACCGTTCTCCTATTGAAGATGTTGAAATCATAATAGATGCACACTCACGTAAAAACTGACGATAACCAGTGCAGTACTCACTCATTGTATATTTCACCATTTTTCAACAACAATATTTTTAGTCACGAAATTTTGTGAATATGTACTAGCGTAGGTACTCTACATACTGATACAGTGAGGAGGATGTGAATGTAGAGAAAGCCTTCACCCACACCCTGATCTCATTCATGCACTGTTTCTAAGTTGTACATATTAGATGGATCTTTCAACTTTTTAACTCAGTCCTCACTACTAGTTCATTTCTTTGAAAAACCACGATTTTGATCAAAAACTAATTTTCGAGAAGATCCTACTGATACAAAGAAACACTCTAGAAGGCTGAAATTTTTAGTGAATATACAAACTCTAGCTTCACTAAAAAGTTCAGATCTCTATCTAATTCGAATCACGAGCCATGAAGTATCAAACTTGCGTAAAATGTAAAATATTTGCGCATACTTGATGAGTCATAGAAATTTAAGAACTCAGTTTTTTGAGTTAAAGATTTTATCATCGAGATATATGTCCACAAAAAATGTCAGCTCAATCAGTAGAGCTGTTCGAGAAAATATGGTCCGATCAGAACTCTTCTTGATCGAAATGCTCATTTTTTTGATCTTTGATAAAACATTCATAAAAAATCGTCCCTCGAAAATATATCTTGAATAGAACCAAATCTGACGACCTCAACTGAGCAGTTTTTTGTGAAAATAGATCGTAATTTTACTCAAATAAGCCAATATATACACTAGAAAAAGTTATTGCTTGAATCAAAATAAAAAAACAACCCAAAATTTTGAAAATTGTTACTAATAGCTAAGAGTCAGTAGTATGTAGTTCCAAATCGGGAACTTATCAGTGATAGAAATTCTGATCACAAGATAGAGAGCAAATCTAGGACCTATGAAAGCTTCTATAGTGTTAAACAAAAAAACATTGTTGTTGAAAAATGATGAAATATATCATTAGTGAATACTGCATTTATTGTCGTCACTTTTTACCTGAGATTGCCTCTATTAGGATTTCAACATTTAAGCAGAGGAACTGTTTTAAAAGCAAAAATTTTGGCATTTTCACATCTCACTT